ACTGTCGGATCTCGACCGCAACGAGTTTCAAATTGGAAAATCTAGTTAGGACTTAGACGCCCAAAGTTTTGGACTTTGAACCTGGGGGCCGACGCTGACGTCTAGAGTCTATGGTTGTTTACTTTTTCAATCTTTGGTTTGAGTATTAGCGTATTGAGCATAAGATCACCTTAATTGTCTATGGTACACTAAATCTTTTCGGGTTTGTTTTTCTATAATATTTTTAAATATCTTTCTTTTTAGAATTTAAGAAAACATTACAGAATAATTTTATTTTGAATGGTGTTTGCGTAAAATAGTAGGTACAAAACAAAATCTAGTTAAGATTATTTGACATATCAGAATTCTAGTTAGCAGCAATAATAATAGTGGTTATATTTTTTTAGCGCTTATAAACTGACTTTTTATATAAGAACGGATGACAATAATTAAAACGCTATCAGGTCCTAGCCTAGCATACAACTTAGTAGACTGCGATCACAGGCAGGCAGTTAATCACTCTGTGCATTAACCGCGTCTGTCATCGTTGCGACGCCATTGTTCTCAGAACTTTGCAATTTCCCCACACTACACTAACAATACGCTAATGCGAAACCGCCAAGTAGGTGCACAGATTAAAAAATCATCCAGGATAATAAAGAACTTATCGGCTGTGAGATCTGACGCCGGTGCCTAGCGAATGGAAAAAAAGTAAAAAGGCGGGAATTTGATTCATAATGACATCAAACATGGCGGCACTGATTGCGATCTGAAAGGGAGATAGAATGGGGTGGCTTTGTCTTGCGCTTGATTACTATTTATACGTAGTGCCTACAGCTGTAGTGGAAGTCTGTATTTACTGGGCATGTTAGGTACATGCCATGTAATACTTTTTGGTACATTTCACACTAACGATTATTCTTTTTTGTCTATTTCCATTTTCTATCAAAAAATCACATTCTATATCGTCTTACAGAAAACATCCAAGAATCGGTTTCGGCTATAAACTGAAAAACGCAATTTATACCGCAACGCACTCACAGAAATGTAAATACAACGAATCGTAACCGAATTGGTCAAAGGGTAAACGGGAAATCACTGTCCATTTGCCGAATTCGACATTCTGTGACAAGTTTCGGACGGACACAATATTTGCTTTGGAAAAAATTCAAAAAGGTCGCATTCTTTAGGTGCACGCTATAAAGCTCATTTTGGTAACGAAAACTATTTTTGTGGGCGCAATCCGGTGTGTAGGTATTCGAACACAATATAAACTGTAATAAAATAAACCGTCCGCAATAATTTTTATTGTAAGAAGGGCCCTCGAATTATCATTTAGATGGGGTGGTTGGCAATATGGCGCGAATCCTGGTTCCGAGCAAAAAATAGATCGGGAATGAAACAGCCGACGCGTCAATTGAGTTACTGTTAGGGATGATCTTGTAAAGGGACTTTTTGGGGATTTTTGTAATTGCACCTATTTTATTGTAGAGGGTCTTTTGTTTATGGATGAGTAGTGTTGTGTTGTGGTGAACATTTCTTTGCTTACTTCTTTTTTTTTCTTCTAGAAGAATAGGTGCTGGAAAGAAGTTTCATTATTTATTGTAGACGGATGTTTTACTTTATCCTCAGATGATAAATGATGTAGTACCTATTATATAAAATAGCTAATTATTGTAAAGGCTAAATCTCAGTTGATTCAAAATCAGTTGAATTGATCGAATATTTATATATTCATAACAAGCATAGAGTGTTAATACAAATATTAAATTTTAATCTAAACGTCGTCGCCAACAAGTATTTAATGACCAGCTCCCCACAAACATGTTATTCCCCTGAAACACATTAGTCGGAGCACGTTAGGGATTCGAGTGCGACCACATTCACAAGCGGTAGCGATTACGATACACTTTATAGGAATGTTTTATTTGGTCTTCAGACGAAACCAAAGTCACTCAGATTTTTTTGTGAGGCTGTTCTATCACTCCCTCACAAAAAAAATTGTGTGTGAGTTAACCGGAGGCCCAATCCTTTCCCTACCCCAATCCCTCCCCATTTCCAAAACCCCCAAATCCCTAGCGTTGGCAACGCACTCGTAACTCCTCCGTCGTCCGTGATTGCTTACCATCAGGTAATCCGTTAAACAGTATGGGGTAATCTTTGGAACCGCTGGTTGGATTTCCAAAATTTTTTCACTGGTAGATAGAAACAATGTTACGATTTACGATTGATTTGCGTATTTTAGTCAAGAGTCTGCTGTTAGAAAACTGAGACACATTCTTTTATACGAGTGCAGAACAGCCAGTCTATATAATATATATATATATATACAAAACAATGCCACTTTTTTTTTTATTGAATAGTTCGGTATACGAGCAGACGGATTACCTGATGGTAAGTAATCAGCGCCGCCCATGGACACCCGTAACGGAGGAGTAACGAGTGCGTTGCCGACCTTTTAGGGATTAGGGTTTTGGAGATTTAGGGATTGGGAGGGATCGGGGGAGGGGAAGGATTGGGTCTCCGGTTACCTCACTCACACGGCGAAACACAACACTGTGGTTGTTTCACGTCGGTATTCTGTGAGGCCGTGGTATCACTCCGGTCGAGCCGACCCATTCGTGCCGAAGCTTGGCTCTCCCACACTCGCCACTTTTCGTTGTAGTGTCATAACTCAACAATGCCTTTACCGATTTGGCTAATTTTGATCTTGAATTATTCGTGGAAGACCAGGGAAGGTTTAAAAAGGCCAAAACAAATAGTTATAATTGAGGCGGTACGGAGTTCGCCAGGTCAGCTAGTGTTAGTATACGTAGTAGTACTAGCTTTCGCCCATGCCTTCGCCCTCCTGATATGTTGATAAAAAACCTTATGTGTTAATCCAGGATATCACCTATCGATATACCTAATTTCCACCGATTCCGGTAACAGAAATACATCCATACATTCCCACTAAGTTTCACATTTATCATATAAAGTAGTATAGTAGAATATGAAAAGAAAGAAAAAAAAAACATTTATTCACATAGAACACAGGTCTATGTTACCAGATATTATAGTGGTGTATAGTTCAGATTTTATTCTGCCTATGTTTGATGCGTGAAAATATTTTTATAAAGTAATACAATTTCAAAATAAAATCGCTATAAGCGCGCACCATGTCCTCAGGTCATAATGACACTGCGAAGCGTTGGTGTGCGCCAGGGGCCGCCAAATGGAAAGAGAATCAGCCCTGATAAATGATTTCGGTACAAATGTTATTTTGATCTTTTGCGATACCCACAGATTTGTTTTGGGGGCGTGCACGATTACAATCCGTCTGCTGCTTCTACTTTTTGATTGCATTTTGTTTTACTACATGGCAACATTGTTGGGAAACATGTTCTAATGTGTTGCCAGTTCGGTTTTCTAGAATTAGGTATCTTCATAATGATAAATGACAAAAACCTTTTTTTGTCAGGGGAAAATCATCAAATGACTTCTCCCGCCCAGGGAAAGGCGAGAGAGAGTGTCAGACTCTTACTGACTAAAAACCTCCCCGTTCCTTCTCCTACTCTGGGCCGAGGCCGCGGTGACTGATTGCGCTTAACCCGCAACTCCGGCTGTCATAATGTACGCGTATGATCAAAACCTACATTAGTTATAAAGTTCAAATTTTTTCTATGGAATAGTTTGAGGACACGCGGCTTTCGGTTAGCCTGAACTCCTGAAAAGGAATTATTGCCGCTCATGGATACCCGCAATATCTGAAGAGTCGCATATGCGTTACCAGCTTTTGGAGTTATGGATTTCATGATTAGGGAAATTAGGAATTGGAGATAGGAGGTGGCGGGAGAGTAGGGTCTCGAGTAACACTCACACGGCAAAACAACGCTGTGGTTATTTCATATTGATATTTTGTAAGACCGTGGTATCACTCCGGTCGAGCCGACCCATTCTTGCTGAAGCATGGCTTGCCTACACTTGCAATTAATAAGCATAACGCTTCTCGTTCGATTGGTCATATGCCCTGCACGGTTGGTGCGGTGGCCGGGCAACTGGCTGCCGTGCAACGTGTCGCGGGTTCGATTCCCGCACGGAAAAACACTTCGTGTGATCTGAAATTGTTGTTTCGGGTCTGGGTGTCATGTGTATGTGACATCATATGTTTGTAAACGCACCAACACAGGACAAAATCCTAAATAGAGCAACGTTGTTTTTTACAAAAAAATATTTATAAAATTCTTGTTATGAAGTTTCCAATGTGGGTATAGTAATTTCGCAGTGAAAAATTACCGAGTTAAGCTCAAGCTATTTTTTATGTTCGGTTCGAGTAGAGTACCCACTGTTGGTTTTGTTAATTTTTCTGGACAACCATATTTTAAATTATCACAGAGATAATTGTCTGCGAAAACTTTTTGTTTTAATGTTATCTGAGGAATAAAATTGTTGCTGTCACTGTCTTATACAAACATTCTGAAGCGACAGCATCATAATTATTCCCCAGGTTTATATAACCATTGAAAAATCAGCCCTAAATCTATAGGTATTCACGGCCCTACCAAGTCCTTAAGGGATTTAATTGAGAGTTGAAGGATCTTTTATTCTAGGTTCTTATTAATAAGTAGCAAGGCAATCAAACCATTGTTGTGAAAGGTAAAATAAAATGATAAACATATTGGGAAACAGGATGTATTATCGATTAATTAGTAATTAATTTATATCCACAGAAATAAAAATAAACTAAACATAATAGGTACTTATTGATCTTAAAATAAAACGTTAAATAATAAATACTACTAAGGGCTGATTTTTCAATGGTTAGATAAAAGTTACCTGGGGAATAATTATTATGATGCTGTCACGTCAGAATGTTTGCTTAAGACAGTGACAGCAATAATTTTATTCCTAAGATAATATTTATGACTATTAAAAAATCAGCCCTTAGTCAAAATTATTAAAACTAGCTATAGGTACACCTGGCATAATTATGAGAAGTAAAAATATCTAGAATAGCCGTCAACTTGGGAATCCAGAATGGTTCAAAGTTCTTCAGGGCTTATAAGAGACTTCGGATCCTTGCCCTGAAATAAAAAAAAAAAAAATGAAATTTCACCATTCATCAATTCCAGACTAAAACCAATTTTTCTATCTTATTTTTTATGTAGGTATAGGTCGGCAAACGAACAAACGGATTTATATGATGGTAAGCAATCAGCGCCGCCTATGGACACCTGCAACACTAAAGGAGTTACGAGTGCGTTGCCGACCCTTTAGGGATAAAGGGTTTTGAATATTTAAGGATTGGGAAGGGATGGGGGCAGGCGGAGGGATTGGCCTCCGGTAACCACATTCACACGGCGAAACATAATGCTGTGGTAGTTTCACGCCTGTTTTCTGTGAGGCCGTGGTATCACTCCGGTCGAGCCGACCCATTCGCACAAGCTTGGCTCTCTCACTCTTAAATATTATTATTAGGTAGGTATGCCAAATTTTATCTACATGAATTATTATAATACTAGCTACTCTGGCACGGTTTCACCCGCTGCTCGGCTCCATTTGACTGTAGCGTGATGTTTTATAGCGTATAGCACTCAAGAACATTGTAGCTATCTATCAGTGAAAGAATTTTGTCAATCCGACCAGCAGCGGTTCCAAAGATTACCCCCTATATACAAACTTACAAGTTTTTTTACTTAAAATATTAGTATAGGTTTAATTTATTGATGTATCAAATGTGTTATTATTGATATTTACACAATGTTTATATTTGTTGCATAATTAATTTAATTAATTAGTAAAAGAGAAATGGATTTGTTCTATATGAATAGTTTCGTTGTGATATGTGATAGATTTTAATACTCACCCATTTATGTCCTATCCAAGCTAGGGTCGCGTTATGTAAACGTGGGCCCATGAGCGGGTTCATTTGTGATATATACAAAGTGGTCCAGCTGTAAATACATTCAATACACAGGGTTAATCATAAAATCACAAATTAGCTGCCTAGTAGCCGAATAGCGCGTACGGCGCGTCACAAAATTACCAAACCATCAAAGATGGACATGGATATCCACTAGGACTTTTGTCCAGCCAGGGTTACAGATGCAAGCCCAATTAATGCTGTAGGTAATTTTTAGGGTGTGGCACTCTCTCTGACCCAAACCTCTAAAGACAAAATTTATCTGCGGAATAACTATGATGCTGTCGCGTCAGAATGTTTTGTATAAGACAGTGACAGCAACAATTTTAATCCTCAGATAACATTTATCTGACTATTGAAAAATTTGCCATTAAACGTCCAATTTTAAATAAACATAAAGCCAAGAAAGAAACAACATTTTTTTTTGTATTGTGCAAACAATTGTTTCGTGCATGTGAGACGACACAAATCTATTTTAATATTTCATCATCATAATGATAGCTCAGGAGATGTACATTGCTGATCAAAGATCATAATTACCTACATGTGACATTTGGGAGACGGCCAGGCAGACTTAGTTAGGTAACGCAAAAGTTTTGATGAATTTGCTACCCGTCACTAGTCCTTTAAATTTTGGAAGAAAACTTGTTATTTTTGCTTTTGAGAGTGCTGGTTGTGTACCTACCATACATAACATAGCTCACTGATCTGTGGATCACTGTTATACTATCAACAGTTTGTCCAGTTAACGAGCTCAACAATTAAAAACACGAAGTAAATAAAATAAAAACTGATATCTACTCACAATATCCACATGCAGAAAGAAGATATCATAATACAACATCTTGCTATTCTGAAAGAAAATAAAACAGCTGTCAATTACCACCTAGTTTGTACAAGTAGTAGTAGACTTACTGAATTCGGAGATACAACGTTTTGGACTCTACTTTTTTTATGTGATAGTTCAGCAATCGAGCATACGGATTACCTGATGATAAGCAATCAGCGTAGCCCTTGGACACCCGCAACGACGGAGGAGTTACGAGTGCGTTGTCGACCTATTAGCGATTAGGGATTTGGAAATTTTGGGAAAGGGAACGGATTGGGGTAGGGGAAAGATTGGACCTCCGATAACCTCACTCACACGGCGAAACACAACTCTTTGGTTATTTCACGCCGGTTTTCTGTGAGGCCGTGGTATCACTCCGGTCGAGCCGACCCATGGCTCTTCCACACTTTAAAACTACATACACAGGGTTCAGTTTAATGTATTGGATGTTACTCCTATAATGCTGTAGAAGAGTCCTAACGTATGTCCGAATTGAGAAAGTCGCACAATTAGATGAGTTGACCTTGACCGTCCAAAATGAGCTAAGAGAAATAATAGTATCACGCACCTTCCGCCAGTGGATCACCCACGTTAACAAGTAGTCGATCTTGTTTGTGCTAATTTTCATCAAAATCCGTCAAGAAACATTCACATTTATAATGTTTGTAGGATATTATTTTGCAATTAACCCAGCTCCTTACAATTTGTTGATACCTATATTACGAAATTAGTGTAAACTCAAAGTCATACTAACCCTCTGTTCGGCCCTTTACGGACTACAAGAGGTCCAATGATAAATATTGCACCAAAAATAGCAGTCAGTACGTATATTGGCACGTAAAATGTTTCAGGAGCTGCCTTCAGTGGGCTCTCAGTTGTTGATGCAACAGTGGTGCTGTCTTCAGGATTTTCTCCAGGAAGGACTTCATCTGGAGCAGGCGGTTCTGGTGCAGGTGGTTCTGGTGCAGGTGGTTCTGGTGCAGGTGGTTCTGGTGCAGGTGCATCTGGTGTAGATGCTTCTGGTGCAGGATCATCAGCAGGCGGATCTAGATCGTCCTGACGCCTCATTCTTTCTTACATGGATGTCAATAGATTTTGTTAAATTATGTTTAGTTGTCAGTGAAATTATTCAATTGTTGTTCTTTCGTTTTTTCATTTTGACGTTTTTAGACTTTTTACCTCTAGGTCGGTTTGGGTTCCATAGAAACTCCTTGGTGAAAAATTATAAGAACTTTTAACGGAGTATTTTGATATTTGGTATTTAAAGTATGGGAGAGCCAAGCTTCGGCATGAATCTAAGTGGCTCGACTGGAGGAGTTAGATCAAATCAAATCATTTATTTCAAGTAGACCGCAACAGCCACTTTTGAACGTCAAGCAAGAAAAGAAAAAAACAAATGGTTTAACTTTATGCGTCATCAGTCTGTCCTCTAGTGAAGCCATTTCCTCGTTTCAAAGTATGTTACTCATTTCATCATAGTTACTCTTTTTCAATCAGTTTCACAATGCATTTCTTTTTTACATCATTCAGTCATTACGTGAAAACACTTGTAAAAAATAATTGTGTAAAAATTAATTATTTGAATACAGATAATATGGCTGCTGACATGACTAAAAGTTTATGTCCTCTTTTGACATGGTACCGTCATAATGTTGATTTCTCTAAACTTTTCTTTGAGAGATTCGCGACAACCTATGTTATAGATAGCTCTGATGGCACGCTTTTCTAAGATAAAGATAGACTAATTTTTATGCGATAGGTACGCAAACGAGCAGACGGATTACCTGATCGTAAGCACGCCCGCAATAACAGGATTAGGGATTTGAGAGGTTTAGGGTTTGGGGATTGATTTGGGGAGGGGAAGGGTTGGACCTCTTAGGGCCAGTGGAAACACAGCGCTGTGGTTATTTCACGCCGGTTTTTTGTCACTCCGGTCGAGCAGACCCATTCGTGCCGAAATATGGCTCTCCCACACTGAATGTCGAATTCGTGTCCTGTGTAGGGGTTTCTCAGACATTGTTCGGCAACGCGTTGCGAACGCTCGACACTCGACTCTTGTGCACGTACCTGAGTTTTTTGTTTTTGTTCACCAAGGCGTTGTAAACTTTCACGTGAAGATTTTTCCATATCCGAGCGTAAGGCGCATTCCTTGATCTATTGGCTCTTTGACTTCCGCCTCAAAGAGCCAAAAGACCAAGACACACAAGAGAAGGCATTTGATGATTTTCCCCTAAAAAAACCTTCTATTTTAGTTTTTTTTTTTTGTAAAAAAAGATTAAAGGTTTGAAAAAAAACTGAAATGTGTCATTATTTTTCTAAAATAAAATAAAATTTTATGTTACTTGTGGCTACAGCAGCTTGCAATGGTGAGACTTTTTAAAATCGGTCCAGTAGTTTTGATCTTATCCAATACGAACAAACAAACAAAGCTTTCCTCTTTAATTAGCCGTGTAGATAATAAATTATGTAGATGCAAATGTTTTTTTGTTTTTATAATTATAACGAGATTATAATATAATTTACGCAAAATATGATGATCACGTTTTATTTTTATATCATTAAAAATATCATTAAAAATAGGCATAAATAGGCCAGTGATTATTTTCATAATGCCAACGTGTATATACATTGTACAGCCTTGGCCATAAGTATCGAGCACCCACTACATCTTAAGGTTTTAAGCTGAGTATCAAATTGAAATAAAACAAAACAGTTTATATATGTTTATTTTACTGTTATTAATCTATATGTACAATTTTGATATGAAAGAGGCCAATCCAATAACAATGTTCCATCAAAATATTGATTTGAATATCGTAAATAATATAGGCATAAGTAAGAAACACGTTTGAGTAAGTTAAGTAACGTCACGGTGCCGGTACCCGAGGCCGGATCGGAATCGGCGCTATCGGCCGATCGCAGATAGCACGAGAGCGGTGTATGCGCTCGCGCACCTATAATGACTCAATTATCCGCTTAGCGAGGGCGTGGCTCCGTACAGTATGTCTTCATTACAACCGACCGCTCACTAACTAGGGAGAACGCTTTTGTATTCAGTTTTTATTTATAACTCTAGTTGATTGTCTTATAATTATTATTATTTTATGCTTATATTTACACAAAAATTGCCATTACAGAATGTACTTTAAGGTATACTTGTACATTCACTTTTTGTTTTAGACCGATACAAAAAATGTCCTTCTGAATATTAATTTAGAGCGATGCGATATTAAAGTTTGTTAAAGCCGTTTTCACTTTAGCCAAACTTTAAGGAGAGTCGTGTGCGCAGGGCACATCATAGTGCCTTATCTATTGGTACGGGGAAGTATAGCAAAGAATTTATTGGTAATATCGATGCGCACACTGATGGCCGTTTATGGTGCATTTCCCCGTTCCACGGACTCTATCGGCTCATCTCATCCAGTTGACCTCAAAAGGTCATGAATTGATTTTTAAGTTTCTATTTTATGAGGAGATGTGGCTTATACAGTTATCTCAGAGATTTTCAGACAGATTGATCTAATGGCTTGTTTGAAATTGTTCAAAAGAGGTTTTATTGATGCTGTTTTGTTAAAAGAGTTTTTATTGAGATTGTATCGATCGTAGAGTTTTGTTTTAATGGCTGTGTTATGGTTAGCCGTCTGTTAATTGTACCTACCTGAATACCTGTTGTTTTACATAGGACAAAACAATGATTGTGAATTTAAAAATAATTTCACAAATGAGCAATCTTAGCAATAAAGATAAATTACTTCAATTCTCTCACTACACTAGTTAGGCACAGTCTTATTCTTTGTATACAAATACTAAAAAGCTTAATGTAAATATAAAATGTTGCGTGTAGTTTGAGAGAAATACTTACAAGTGAGAAAATATATCTGTATATCTACATAGATACATATTAAATGGATCCCAAGTCCTTTGAATACAAAATTCTCGTTTCATATTAATTTCCATTTTATCGGAAATCTTCACGGTCAGAGGACGACGATGCCTTTGCCTCCCGATATTATGGGCTGGGCTGGCGTTTTGACAGCTGTCACTTTGACGGAGCGGGTCAAGCGACGTCGCTCGCTTCAATTTCCGGAGGGTGTGACGTCGTTGCATGATTTGAATTTAATTTTGGAACAGCTCCGTCATTCGTCGTTAAGACGTTTCTAATATATTTAAAGAGAAGAACAACAGTAAATTCTTGTATGTTGTTTTGAGTAAACATATTAAAAAAGAAAAATCTTACGTAAATTCTTTAACACATTTCCTACAATGATATATCCAAACCAGCTTAGCTACACAGAACAGAACAGTTGCTGCACAACCTCCCCAAATATAAATAAAACAAAAGTCGCTAGAACATTTCCTTGAATACAAAATTCTATGCAGTAACATATGCAAGCGAGTTGTCATACATAGCGAGGCTGCAGCGACCCGGAACATAGCATGTGACTTCCCAGCTAAAATAAATCACGTGTGATTTATTTTTATTCGGTTGGCAACACTGAGCGGCGCATATATTCCCGCCCTGCAATGCCGTTACCATTCTTTATTTAAATTATTTTCGCGGGTATTTGGCCAGGACGTGCCTAGCGTATTTTTTATCTGTATTAACTCGGCTGACCGTTTATGAACGGAATTTATTTAAATTGTTTTATTTATTTGCATTTGTATTGGGATTTGTCGGTGCATTGTATATTTATCGATTCGTGATAAAGTAAATTCAAATGAATTTGTGTTTTATTTTACATCATTTTGTGTCGTGGCCCAGAGGTAAGGGGTGCGGGCTGGAAACCTGGCAAGTACCAAAGTGACTTTTTCTGAGTAATTTGAACTTTCTATGACTATTTAGACAGTACTGACAAATGGTGGAACATCGTAAGAAAACCTAGACTTACAATTTCTTAGTATTATACCTAAGTTTCAAATCGCCAGTCCACCTTGAGCAAGCGTGGTGCTTAATGCTCAATCCTTCTCCGCATAAGAAGAGGCCTTTGCTCATCCGTGGGCACTTATAGGCTGATGATAATGACGATGATAATAAAAAAACATTATTTTAATGGAAAACGAGTAATTTATATGATTCTTCATACCTACTTCCATGTAATGGCTTGTTAACTGGCTGAAGCGGAATACCTACTACTTACATAATATTGTTTGAATGTTGTCCGTGATATTTTTATATTTGTACTTGCGATGGATGGATAATTATGGTACATGCGTTTTTTTAATTATAAAAATAGGTACTCTTTTTGCAGAGAAAATTTCTGTACATCTATTTGAGAGAAAAAAGAGGCTTGAAATAGAAAGAAGACTGCCGACTGAACAATATTAAAGCCACAAAAGAAAACTGTGAAGCAGCTAACAAACAAATAAAGGACTGTGCAGATATTTAAGCAACGTTGTAAGTTACCACCAGACAATGGCAACACAATGGAACAACAGTGGTCACAAATCATCATTCAGACAAACATCTTATGTAAAATTTCAGCAGTAAACATAGAAAGATCTTTACTATACTGATGGAGACGTGGTCTCACGTCCGGTTTTTGAATTGTGTTGAGATTTTTATGTCATAAATAGTTCGTAATTTATAGAAACTGGCTTTTTTATTCTTTGTATACTATATGTGATCGGGACTTGAAAGCGCAAACACCGCGACATATGTATACCTCCGGTACTTTCCTAGAATAAGTACATATGTGATACATTTAGTTCTTTTCTCAAAAATCCGTCTATACTTTATCTCAGTGATTTTGTCATATAAAAAAGCTTAAAAAATTTTATTTATTTACAAACCGAATTAATAAACTACTGCCCTCAACTAAGTACAAAAAACAGCTACATTATCAGCCTGTAAGAAGCACCCACCGCTTTTTTTTGTAATGTAAATTATGTTGTTTTATTGTAGATATTCCAATGTAACGTTATTTAAACTAATGTAATGTTATTTCTTCTATAAAATACTATAGTTATGTGGTTAGTTGTAGTATGTAAAATCCGTATTATTTAAATATATTGTTTGACAAGGGCACGGGCCCCGAGTCCGTGGAGACTGTAAATGATCAATTATAAAA